CCCCAAAACCCCAAAACCCCAAAACCCCACTAAAGCAAAGCCTAGTTGAAATATAGAGCATAATTATTCAGTTTTTTTGGCTCTCTTCTGTTTATTTTTGCCGTTATGCTTGAAATCTTTCCTTCTCTTCCTCTGCTGATACCCTGATATATTTTTAGATTTCTTCTTAGCTTTCTCAGCTTTCTCTGATGTTCGGTTCTTGAAATTATGCTTCTGCTTCCTGTATTGCTCAAGCTTGTCTTCAAAACCGGATTCTGAGATCATTATACGTAGGGATTGAGATACTTTTGAGACCAAGGCCATGTCATCTAGGACTTGATCTTCTGTTGATTGGAGCTCAGCATCGACTTCTTCAAGTTTTACACTTGCGTATTCTTCAATACTGTAGATAAGTTTTATGTCGTATTGTGTGATAAAGGTGATAGCCATACCACCTCTACCAGCTCTTGCTGTTCTACCCGTCCTATGAACATAATCTATTGGCTCAACGGGGACATCAAAGTTGATGACCAGATCCACAGAAGGAATATCAAGACCTCTTGAAGCAAGATCAGTAGCAACCAGAACTGGAATCCTCTCTGCCTTGAATAAGAACAAGTTCTTCATCCTTTGATGCAGAGGTAGCAGAGAATGAATACAAGTTGCCTTCTGATTCATTTCTTCCAAGAATAATTTCAAGAAATTGCATTTCTCGATGGTTGAGGTAAAAATTATTCAAGACCTAACACCTCGATCTGTGTTGATCATTTTCTTTAAAAAGTTTATCAAATGAATTTCCTTGGTACTCTCTGGAACTAGTCAGTACTTCTGCTGCAGTCCTTTAATCGTGTGTCTGATATCAATGTTCAGGTTGATGGATTCAACACTTTTAGAAGTCTTCTGCTCTTCCTCGATTTCGCCGATAACACCCTCAAGGATATCTGGCCTATTTTTCATATTATCTGTCACTGTTGCTGAGAAAAGTAATGTTTGTCTTTCTTTTGGAAGGTGCTCAAATATTATCTTCAGATCAGGAAGGAAGCAGTCATCGTTAACGAACCTATCAGCCTCATCTAGTACTAAATACTTTACATTGCTCAATGCAGTTTTAAGTTCGTCATCTGGGGTCTCAAGATGAGATGCAAGTCTTCCAGGAGTTGCTACAATAAAATGAGGAAAGTTCTTCAAGTTCAGTGATTGCTCTACAAAGTCCATTCCACCAATGACTAGCTCAACTTCGACAGTCATCGAAGCCGTAAATATTTTGATTTGGTCTGCTATTTGTATTGCAAGTTCACGTGTTGGGGTAATAACCACACAGAATATGCCATAAGGATCATTTGATAAGTCTTGGATAACAGGCAATGCAAATGCTGCTGTTTTACCAGATCCTGTATGTGCTCCTCCAATAACATGATTACCACTCAATACAGCAGGGATACTTTTCTTCTGAATCTCAGTTGGATTGACAATGCCAACCTCACTTGCTGCCTTACAAAGCCATGGTTTTATTCCAATATCGCCGAATGTAGTGTCGTCCATTACAATTATTTCAATAAATTTACCAATGCATGGGGTTTTGGGGTTTTGGGGTTTTGGGGTTTTGGGG